TATATAATCATGTTACAAATTTTTGAACCCTGAAATTCTTGGTAGTACCAATGTTCACTTTGTCTGGTTTTGTTGCAGCATGCCCCATATTTTGATCTACATAGTCCATCGTACTGCATAAAATTGTTGTTGCACGAATAGTGGACACCCAGTTTCAACTAAATTTGATTGGAATTTGAAAATTTGACTCGTGCGACGCAGCATAGGTTGGTGGGTTCCCACATAAAATGTACACTTATTATATATAACGTGATATAATATAAATTTTTTATATAAAATGGGAGTTTTATATATAGTGATAATAAGTATTTATAATTAAATATTAATATTAATTATTTTTACTATTATTATGAGTTCATGTACATGAAAAAGTATAAATATTTTTAAAATTTTTTATTTAAAAAAAATTTTATTTTATAAACATAAAAGATTCATACAATAAATAAAATAATTATATAAAAGTAATTTATACACACATTCCATACAATTGACATGAGCCAGTCACCACCAATCACTCAAGTTAGTCCTGAAAGTGAGAATGTAACTTCAAATCTAATAACGCAAGTTACTGAATCAAAACATTTACCTAACACAAAGCCAGAAGATAAAGGTATGCTTAATAATTTTTATTTAACGTGCAATTTTCTTAAATTATACTTTTCTATTGCACAATTTTCAAATCTCTCTCTGACTTGGACTTGGAATAGATTTATATTGTGTATATGTTGAAACATCAATTATTATAATAAATTGCAAAATTACAACAATGTTGTTAAAAGTATTATAATTAGATTATAATTAAATTATAATTAGATATATTTTATATGTTCTATGGATAGTAAAATTGATGGGAAGATAATTAAATATACGTTTTAAATTAATAATAATTAAATGTTAATATTTCGATTAATGTTAATTAATTCATTATTCTCAATTATCTAATAATTTCTCACAACAATAAAATCAACAGATTCGGCAATCAATTCCACTCCTTCAAAAACCATATCGAATTCAACAAGTAATATCTCTGCTACGATTGTAAACACAAGTCCGTCTCCCCCTGCAAGCCCTAAATCATCATCATCATCAAATCTAAGAGCTATGCATCGAATTTCTCCACGTTCTTTGTTTTCTTTTTTTTTTTGTTGTACATTGGGTTCTGGTGCCAAAATAAATAATAAAGAAAAAGTAGACAAAAACAATAACGATAGTAGTAGTAGTAGTAGTAGTAGTAGTAATAATAATAATAATAATAGTAATAATAATAATAATAATAATAATAATAATAATAATAATAATAATAATAATAATAGCAATAGTAATAATATATCAAACCTTGACACAAACGCAACTTCCAGAACTGTCAATACAAATATTATAAAACCACAATCCAATGATGTTGATGATGATAAGGTAATTGAAGAAAAAACAAAAACTAGTCAAACAACTATTAATGGTGATGATATCAATATACCTGAATCTGCAGCGATAGAAAAAAAAAGTGAAGAAAAAGAGGTAGATTTTTTAAATAAAAAAAAACGAAATAAAAGGATTTATTTATATTTAATTTAGATTCAAATAATTTAAAACCTTTTATTTTTATATAATAAGACTTTTTTTAATTTTATTTATTGAATTTTAGATTGATTGTAAATGGCTACTTGATCCAATAGGTTCAGAACATATGGGTAGAAAATGTTTAGTATTGGATTTAGACGAAACTCTAGTACACAGTTCCTTTAAGGTATAAAGATGATGATGTGATGATAATATTATTAATTTTGATTATTATTGTTGTTGTTATTTTATCGTTATTTATTTAATTAAATTAAATTTAAAAACTTTTTTTAGATGATTAGTCAAGCGGATTTTGTTGTACCAGTAGAAATTGAAAATCAAATACATAATGTTTATGTAATTAAGCGTCCAGGGGTTGATCGGTTTCTGAAAAAAATGGGTGAATTATATGAAGTGGTTGTTTTCACAGCAAGTTTATCAAAGGTTAGTTGGTGGTGATGATGCGTGATTTGAAAGAGAAACTAAAAAACTAAATAAAATAATTTTTAAATTTAAATAATTAATAATTAATAATTCAAAATATTTTATAAATAGTATGCAGATCCAGTCCTTGATATGTTAGATATACATAGAGTGGTAAAATACCGATTATTTAGAGAATCCTGTTATAATCATAAAGGAAATTATGTGAAAGTTTGTATTAATTTCATTTTTATATTTAAACAAGACACGTGATCCAGTTTGTGGATCAATAATTTTTTTGAATTTTATAATAAAAAATATTTGCACATTTATTAGGATCTTTCACAGCTGGGAAGAGAACTTAGAGATACAATTATAATTGACAATTCGCCAGCTAGTTACATTTTTCATCCAAAAAATGCAGTTCCAATTTCATCATGGTTTAATGATCCACATGACACTGAATTGTTAGATTTGATACCATTTTTGGAGGACTTGACAGCAGTAGATGATGTTACTATGGTATTGGACTCTTCCAATGAACTACAGTTTTAATACTTAATTCTAATTCTAATAATTTTATCAAGTGTGATATATGCACACAAACATATATAAATATATGGTGATGGTAATGAAGATAATAATAGTAGATGTGATTGTGGAGAGGTTGTGGAAATATTGATTGAATCGGATTTGATAGCAAATAATAATAGTAGCAATTATGACAGTAAAATGGTGGAAGTAGTTATCCTAATTATAATAGTATTGATAGTATTATTATTTTCGTGATAATAGTTTTTTGATAGTTAATGGTGTTAGTGTTAATGATCTATGATTGCTCATTACTATATAGTAATAATTACTTGCTATTACAATGAATGAATAGTTTTAGATGAGATTTTAAAATCTAGTAACAAAGAAAAAAAAAACAGACAATAATAACATAAATATGCAGTTTAGACTATTAAAATACTTTAATTTAATTTCTTCAATTTTTCAATTTTGGGGAATTTGATAGGAATACATTATTTATTTATTCATTTTTTATTTATTATTTATTTATTTATTTATTTATTATTTATTTATTTATTTTATATAAATTTATAAATTTAATTTATTCATAGTTTTGTATAATTTTATAAATTTTATTAATTTAATTTACTTTTTATTTTTATTTTTATTTTATTTATTTAGTTAATAACAACAACAACATCATTATTATTAAAAAAATTTTTGGACTTTTTTTTCTTATACTTTCCTTACTGATCAATTTACATAATTACATTTTTATCATTAAATATAAAATTGTTTTTATTATATTTTCTTTTGGGGTGGGCTTTATTAATATACACACAACATGTATATAAGATGGAAAATATTTCATTTTCTAATATGTATAATGATATTGTTGTTAATTATTAGATTATTTTATTATTATTTATAATAGTCTTATTTTTATTTATTTTTTTATAAATAAATTATATTTTAGATATACATTTATAAAATATAATAAATATACAATTTAACCTTCTTGTAAAATACATCATAAATTCAATAAATTCTAGAATTTTATACAATAATAATAACTTTAGATCCAAAAATTGAAGATTTTTCTTTTAAAAGAAAATTTATCACTCTCCTGAATATGCCTGTGGTGCAACTAAGTTACTAAATAGTAATTTATTGTATCGTAAGAAAAAATTTCTTGATACAATGTATTAGTATATTCCCGCTTAAAGGTTAATTGTATGTTATATTGCCTAATTTTTATTTTACTTCTAATAAAGTTATCTTGGAGATAATAATTTCAATGACAATAATTTGGAATCAGATTTGAATAATTAACTAATGTAATTGAACTAGACAATTTTCTAGAGAAATTGGCGAAAATTAAAAATTGCCTAAACTGTAGGCGAAACTCCTAAACTAAGGGCGAAGACCAAACGGATAATTGATTTAATTTCCGACCACAAAAGTATTTTATTAAACAAAAAAAAAGAATTAATTTGTTTTATTAATTAAATTATGAAAATGTTTATTGCAAAACAAATTGTTCGTAAAGAAATAATTTTATATTAACTTTTCTGCTTCTACTCTCAAGCAAGGCTCTGAGTTATTATTAATATAGAATTATTTAATTATCCAATTGATTAAATTTTATTGATAAAGAAATTCACAGCATGTTAATTTTTTTAAATTCGAGAAATAAATTAAAAACGAGACTAAGTCACATGATTGGACGGCACTTCGATAAATCCGTTTTATTTCATAGGTTTGACAATTTAACCACAGTTTAGACAAATTTTAAGTTTCTTCACTAGTTTAGGAGCTAATTTCCTAACTTCTGTGGGAGAACTATTTCGGATTTGCTAAACAATTTTGGCCACCATCATTAAATTGAACAGCCATCTGGATCTGGTTCAATTGGGATTGATGAATATGCTTCTACAGAAGAAATATCAATGTGAAAAATAGTTAGTATTGTTAGGGAGCAGGCTCAAATGAAGTCGAAGAGAATATTACTGAAGAAAAGGTTAGTACTGGTGACGCTTTAGAAAGTGTTAATAAAGTTCTAAATTTCTATATTAATATATATATTAATATATAATAATTATAAAAAACCTAAGGGTTTAATTTAACGGGGGTCAAAATTACTAAATATTTTTATAATATTTAAACTGAAATTTTTTTAGAAAGAGGAAAGTCTTTAAACAAGACCTTTATAAGATTTGAATGGAATTTGTTTCCGAATTTTAGGAATCTTAATGCTAAATTGAGAAGAAAATAAATTAAAATTATGTAGAAATCTTATCTACAGTGACAAACTGTATAAATTAGATCAACTTACTTTGTTAACAATTATTAATAAAGACGTGAAAAAATTCTTGTTCAATATAAATATTTCGAAA